GAAAAGGAGAGGCCCAAGCTAGGCTGGAAAGGATCTTCTTATTAAAACAACAAAACAAAACAAAACAAAACAAAACACCGAAATCTTCATTTTAAAGGGAGTTGGAGCACTTTCACTTTCACACGCACAGTGAGTGGTGGGTGCACCTTGGCCCGAAGGGGGACGAGAAGCCGATGCGGGATCCCCGGGGCCCCGCGCCCCTCCGACACGCGGGGAAAGGTCCCGCAGCCTCCCCGGCTGCAGAAATGCGGGACGGCTTCCAGATGCGGCCACCCTGGGAAGGGCGAAGCCCTCCCCGCCCCCACGACGGCCGCGACATTGGGAAACTATCAGATTATTTGCAGTTGATGACAGATTTGATCGTTGTCCTAAACTGTCGGCGGGCGTGATGCGATGTGCGTGTGGAGCCGGGGTGCGTGTGCGGAGATGAGTGTGTGCCTACTGTCTACGGACTTGTAGGCAAGTCGTGGCTCTCGGTGTCTGTGTAGAGGCACACACACACGCATGTGTATGTACGTGCATGTGTAACCTCCACGGGCACAAGCAAACTGCAGGCAGATAGATAGGTGTGTGTCTCGATCCGTTGTGTGTCTGCCTCTTGATGTAGGCATTGTGTGGACACACACGCAGTCCCGGACCCCTTTTCCAGCCGGTTTCACTGCATTTGGCACTTAGTATACTGTACACACATATCCCCCCCTCCATACACTAGTCCTTACCGAGGCGGAAAGCTCCGAGGGAGCCCGGGCAAGGAGCCGGACCGCAGGGAGGGCAGGAGCGCCCAGCGAGCTAACCCGCGCCTTTGTCTCCCCTCCGCAGGTAAAAGTATGGTTTCAGAACAGAAGGACAAAGTTCAAGCGACAAAAGTTGGAAGAGGAAGGTTCAGACTCACAACAGAAGAAAAAAGGGACTCATCACATTAACCGGTGGAGAATTGCCACCAAACAAGCCAGCCCAGAAGAAATAGACGTCACTTCAGACGACTAAGAACTGGCACTGGGACTTTTCCGACGAGCAAACAAAACAAAAATCAAAGTGTTGCAGGATCACACACCCGGAGAGCGGCGGTGCAGGGGAGAGGCAGAGGCTTCATCAAAATGCAGTTCTCGTCTAGGAGGCAGCTGAGAGAGAGAGACACGGAGCGAGAGGTCCAAAATGTGGCATTGCTGGCACAGCTCTGGCAAAGGGGGATCTGTCAATCAAAACCTATCCACCGAGACACGATGATTGACAGGTATTCCGTTTCTCGCAGTCCACTTTTAAAATCCAATAACGACAAAAAAAATTAAAAGAAAAAAACCCCAATATATATAGATATATATACACAACCCTTCCCCCCCCCCCCACAGGACATTTTTTGCACTTCACAGTTTTTTTTCCCCAGCCTTTACAAAGCAAATGCCGTGCACAGTCCAAATCCACACCTGTTTCAGAAACTTGAATTGCATGTGTTTAAAAAAGAAAGAAAGAAAGAAAGAAAGAAAAAGCCGTTTGGGGTTTTTTTTAAACGGTTCCTAAAGACAGAAATGAATTGTAATTTTTTTTTCCTTTTAAGACAGGTTCTGTGTGCTTTTTAATTTTATTTTACGAGAAATGTGCAGTCTGTAAACATTTTATGATAACTTCTGGCGTCAAAGTGATTGTGAAAGCTAAATGAAGTAGCAGTAACTAAACATAGTGTTCCTTCCAAACGGACAACGCGGGGATGTGGGTGGGAGGGAGCGGAGGGGTGGTTATGACTTTTTGCTGCAAAAACAAAAAACAAAAAAAATTCCCCAATTAAAAAAAAAAAAATATCCCCATGGTGAAACGTAATTAATATTTTTTAAATCCGATGGCCACTGTTCGGTGGTGCCGGCTCTTAATTGGCAGATCTTCCAAACTAGCAGTATGCAGGAAAAAGGACTCGATATCAAGGATTGATCAAAAATGGCCATTTTCATTGGGGGCAAGTTTCAAGCACTGAGCTTATAATATTCCAAGATTATAGAGCTACTAAAAACAAGTGACAAATGTTTCCTTAATGTCTTCTATACCAGAATGTAAATATTTTTGTGTTTTGTGTTTAATTTGTTAGAATTCTAACACACTATATACTTCCAAGAAGTATGTCATTGTCAATATTTTGTCAATAAAGATTTATCAATATGCCCTCATTTTTTTTTAAGCCATATTTTTTCAGGGTTTTCAAATCTGTAGGTTCCCCAGATTTGGGGGGGGTGAACGTATTGACTTCAGGCCATAAACATCTCTGCTCATTTCGATACCATTGCTTAAGCGAGGGGCGCTGATTTGATGCCTTAACTCCATCCCTTGTAAACAACGCTTAGAAAATAACCCACGGGCGTCAATTTATGTAGATAAAAAAAAAGAGTCTGATAAGAAGTTTAGATTTTTTTAATGAAAAAAAATTGAAAATGATCCATTTGCAGCTTTCTTGGGGGGAAAAATCAGGCTTTTAATTTTTTTGCTAGATTCCTGACTTTTTCAACAAAATAGCCTATGCTGTTGTGTGCAGGTTTCTTTATGTTTTGTGTCGAAATCAGGGTGCGAGAGTTGGATGTCGTGCCCCATGAGCGGGAAGTACCTTTGTCCAGGGGACCGATTCTGAGGACATAGTTAAAGCTGTAGCCCTGGGGGGGAGGGGAGCTGCAACCAATGCGGAGGAAAGGAGCTGGTTTTCTGGGGGTACACAGTTGTTTTTTCATGCTTCATTTGCTCTTTAGCCTGATAGACTGCATTAATCAGTTTTATTTCCATTGATAGAGAAACCTCGTCTGCTCTGTTCGAGCTACAAAGAATCCTGCAAGCTTTTGTGAAAGTGCAAATCAGTTTAGGCAATTATCATACCAGGAATATGAAGGGGAAAGAGGAGGCATTGCCCAGTGGTCTCCTTTAATCTCTTAATCCGTGGATCCAGGGGGGCTAGTTGGACATAATTTAGGACAATCTGACTACCCTTTACACTGTGATAAGGCGAAGTTACAATGGATCGCGAAAATACGAGCTTTGTTAAGCGTCCTGCCTTGAAAAGTTAAGATTAGACATTCCGCGCACGTGTTGGCACTATAGGATACTATGTACATTAAAAAAAAAATCCGATCTGATTTTTTTAACATCGTGGATCCCATACAATATAGTGGTGACTTTCCATTCAGAGCTGCTCCAATATTAAAGAGGCCCAGACAGGGTGAGATGCCTGTCGCAATGCAGTTCCCCTTCCCTTTCTGCCTAATTATTGAGCAGAGCCATTCCCAAGGTAAATTTCTCGTCGTCCTCCGCCACCACCCCCAAAAATCCCGGCGGATTGTGCAGCTCTTCCAATGCACCCGGGCGCATTTTGCACCTCAGCCCGCTCGAGTTAGCTCGAGTCCGACTTCAAACCCATGCAAATGCGCAAACATTAAACAGATTGCAGATTTGGGTCTTTCTATAAATTGTTTCCCATCTTGATAAAAGGCTTATTTCTGCAGGAGCTATATACTTTATTTTTTTTTTAACTGCAAGGAAAGAGAGAGGTGGGGGTGGGGGGGAAATTTAAGCGTCCTATGTAGCGTAACAGCAATAAAATCTTCAGAGAATGCCATTAGCTTTGAAAAAAAAACCCCTAAAAGCTTTATTACAAACCAAGCTTTGAAAATAGGGGGGATTAGGAGTCTGAAAGGGTCCCACAATGGTTAGAAGAAAAGGTTTCATGCTAATGAGGTTAATGCCCTTTGTATCTCAGGACTCCACAACTTCATTACTCCCTATCTCAGGCTGCACCAAGCGGCTCAGAACAGTGCAATCCACTCCAGCTTTTCCCTTCCCTGCCTAAAGAAGGATTTGATAGCAGCTCTGTTCAAACTAGATAATTATATCTTTTCAAGTCGGAATTAAGATAAAGAAAGTGAAGCAAAGGCGGCTAGCCTTGATCCACTGCAAACAAATTTGGCGCACTTTCTAGTCGCTCTCCCCCTGCCTCAATAGGCAGGACAGTCAGCTTATTAGACCCTCATTTGCTTTATTAATTCATCTATTTAAAGTGGCAGGATTAGAGAGTCTAACGTGGACGCTGGATGCCAGGCAACGCTGACATAGAAATACCGGCGAGAGCACTGCCCGAGTGGGCACTGCGGTGACACATCTGGATTGGGGGGGGGGGGACACAAAAAAAGACGTTTTCCGGGAAATACCTGGGAGGGAAGGGACGGGACCGGGGCGCTGAGACTGCAGCTCTGCGGGACGGCTTGGGTTGTTCCCAGGTCGCTGCCAGCAGTGCCTTGCTGCTGCCCCGATCCGGGGTCCTTGCAGGGAGAGGAAAAGCGAGGTTTGCCCCAGGTGCTCTGCTCTGGTGCGGGAGCCTGGCCGGGGTGCGCCCGGGCAAGGAGTCAGCAGCAGCACCCAGGAGGGCTGCGCCGGGCTCCCCGCAAAGCGGCGCGGGGCCGCACCACTGACCTCTCTCTTCCCTCTTTTGTCTCCCCAAGCCCAGGCAGGGGCTCGGCGGGGAGGCTGCGGCCGGAGCTGCCAA